GGAACAGATTGATATGGGGATTGGATGGTTGCCGTGTCGTCTACCGATTGTGTGATACCGCGTTCCTGTCGGCATGTTTGTTGCAGGAACAGATTGATATTAGGATTGGATGGTTGCCGTGTCGTCTACCGATTGTGTGATACCGCGTTCCTGTCGGTATGTTTGTTGCAGGAAAAGATTGATATGGGGATTGGATGGTTGCCATGTCGTCTACCGATTGTGTGATACCGCGTTCTTGTCAGCATGTTATTTGCAGGAAGAAATTGATATGGGGATTGGATGGTTGCCGTGTCGTCAACCGATTGTGTGATACCGTGATCCTGTCGGTATGTTTGTTTCAGGAACAGATTGATATGGGGATTGGATGGTTGCCGTGACACCCACTGATTGTGTGATACCTCGTTCCTGTCGGCATGTTTGTTGCAGGAAAAGATTGATATGGGGATTGGATGGTTGCCGTGTCATCTACCGATTGTGTAATACCGCGTTCCTGTCGGCATGTTTGTTGCAGGAACAGATTGATATGAGGATGGGATGGTTGCAGTGACACCTACTGATTGTGTGATACCGTGTTCCTTTCGGCATGTTTGTTGCATGAACAGATTGATATGAGGATGGGATGGTTGCCGTGTCACCTACTGATTGTGTGAAACCGCGTTCCTGTCGGCACGTTTGTTGCAGGAACAGATTGATATGGGGATTGGATGGTTGCCGCGACACCTACTGATTGTGTGATACTGCGTTCCTGTAAGCATGTTTGTTGCATGAACAGATTGCTATGGGGATTGGATGGTTGCCGTGTCGTCTACCGATTGTGTGATACCGCGTTCCTGTCGGCATGTTTGTTGCAGGAACAGATTGATATTAGGATTGGATGGTTGCCGTGTCGTCTACCGATTGTGTGATACCGCGTTCCTGTCGGTATGTTTGTTGCAGGAAAAGATTGATATGGGGATTGGATGGTTGCCATGTCGTCTACCGATTGTGTGATACCGCGTTCTTGTCAGCATGTTTGTTGCAGGAAGAAATTGATATGGGGATTGGATGGTTGCCGTGTCGTCTACTGATTGTGTGATACCGTGATCCTGTCGGTATGTTTGTTGCAGGAACAGATTGATATGGGGATTGGATGGTTGCCGTGTCATCTACCGATTGTGTGATACCGCGTTCCTGTCGGCATGTTTGTTGCAGGAACAGATTGATATGAGGATGGGATGGTTGCAGTGACACCTACTGATTGTGTGATACCGTGTTCCTTTGGGCATGTTTGTTGCAGGAACAGATTGATATGGGGATGGGATGGTTGCCGTGTCACCTACTGATTGTGTGAAACCGCGTTCCTGTCGGCACGTTTGTTGCAGGAACAGATTGATATGGGGATTGGATGGTTGCCGCGACACCTACTGATTGTGTGATACCGCGTTCCTGTCGGCATGTTTGTTGCATGAACAGATTGATATGGGGATTGGATGGTTGCCGTGTCGTCTACCGATTGTGTGATACCGCGTTCCTGTCGGCATGTTTGTTGCAGGAACAGATTGATATTAGGATTGGATGGTTGCCGTGTCGTCTACCGATTGTGTGATACCGCGTTCCTGTCGGTATGTTTGTTGCAGGAAAAGATTGATATGGGGATTGGATGGTTGCCGTGTCGTCTACTGATTGTGTGATACCTGCGTTGCTGTCGGCATGTTTGTTGCAGGAAAAGATTGATATGGGGATTGGATGGTTGCCGTGTCGTCTACCGATTGTGTGATACCGCGTTCCTGTCGGCATGTTTGTTGCAGGAACAGATTGATATGGGGATTGGATGGTTGCCGTGACGTCTACTGATTGTGTGATACCGCGTTCCTGTCGGCATGTTTGTTGCATGAACAGATTGATATGGGGATTGGATGGTTGCCGTGACACCTACTGATTGTGTGATACCGCGTTCCTGTCGGCATGTTTGTTGCATGAACAGATTGATATGGGGATGGGATGGTTGCCGTGTCACCTACTGATTGTGTGAAACCGCGTTCCTGTCGGCACGTTTGTTGCAGGAACAGATTGATATGGGGATTGGATGGTTGCCGCGACACCTACTGATTGTGTGATACCGCGTTCCTGTCGGCATGTTTTTGCAGGAACAAATTGATATGGGGATTGGATGGTTGCCGTGTCGTCTACCGATTGTGTGATACCGCGTTCCTGTCGGCATGTTTGTTGCAGGAACAGATTGATATGGGGATTGGATGGTTGCCGTGTCGTCTACCGATTGTGTGATACCGCGTTCCTGTCGGTATGTTTGTTGCATGAAAAGATTGATATGGGGATTGGATGGTTGCCATGTCGTCTACCGATTGTATGATACCGCGTTCTTGTCTGCATGTTTGTTGCAGGAAGAAATTGATATGGGGATTGAATGGTTGCCGTGTCGTCTACCGATTGTGTGATACCGTGATCCTGTCGGTATGTTTGTTTCAGGAACAGATTGATATGGGGATTGGATGGTTGCCGTGACACCCACTGATTGTGTGATACCTCGTTCCTGTCGGCATGTTTGTTGCAGGAAAAGATTGATATGGGGATTGGATGGTTGCCGTGTCATCTACCGATTGTGTGATACCGCGTTCCTGTCGGCATGTTTGTTGCAGGAACAGATTGATATGGGGATTGGATGGTTGCCGTGTCGTTTACCGATTGTGTGATACCGCGTTCCTGTCGGCATGATTGTTGCATGAACAGATTGATATGGGAATTGGATGGTTGCAGTGACACCTACTGATTGTGTGATACCGCGTTCCTGTCGGCATGTTTGTTGCAGGAACAGATTGATATGGGGATAGGATGGTTGCCGTGACACCTCTACTGATTGTGTGATACCGTGTTCCTGTCGGCATGTTTGTTGCAGGAACAGATTGATATGAGGATTGGATGGTTGCCGTGTCACCTACTGATTGTGTGAAACCGCGTTCCTGTCGGCACGTTTGTTGCAGGAACAGATTGATATGGGGATTGGATGGTTGCCGCGACACCTACTGATTGTGTGATACCGTTCCTGTCGGCATGTTTGTTGCAGGAACAGATTGATATGGGGATTGGATGGTTGCCGTGTCGTCTACCGATTGTGTGATACCGCGTTCCTGTCGGCATGTTTGTTGCAGGAACAGATTGATATTAGGATTGGATGGTTGCCGTGTCGTCTACCGATTGTGTGATACCGCGTTCCTGTCGGTATGTTTGTTGCAGGAAAAGATTGATATGGGGATTGGATGGTTGCCGTGTCGTCTACTGATTGTGTGATACCTCGTTCCTGTCGGCATGTTTGTTGCAGGAAAAGATTGATATGGGGATTGGATGGTTGCCGTGTCGTCTACCGATTGTGTGATACCGCGTTCCTGTCGGCATGATTGTTGCATGAACAGATTGATATGGGAATTGGATGGTTGCAGTGACACCTACTGATTGTGTGATACTGCGTTCCTGTCGGCATGTTTGTTGCATGAACAGATTGATATGGGAATTGGATGGTTGCAGTGACACCTACTGATTGTGTGATACCGCGTTCCTGTCGGCATGTTTGTTGCAGGAACAGATTGATATGGGGATGGGATGGTTGCCGTGTCACCTACTGATTGTGTGAAACCGCGTTCCTGTCGGCACGTTTGTTGCAGGAACAGATTGATATGGGGATGGGATGGTTGCCGCGACACCTACTGATTGTGTGATACCGCGTTCCTGTCGGCATGTTTTTTGCAGGAATAAATTGATATGGGGATTGGATGGTTGCCGTGTCGTCTACCGATTGTGTGATACCGCGTTCCTGTCGGCATGTTTGTTGCAGGAACAGATTGATATGGGGATTGGATGGTTGCCGTGTCGTCTACCGATTGTGTGATACCGCGTTCCTGTCGGTATGTTTGTTGCAGGAAAAGATTGATATGGGGATTGGATGGTTGCCATGTCGTCTACTGATTGTATGATACCGCGTTCTTGTCTGCATGTTTGTTGCTGGAAGAAATTGATATGGGGTTTGGATGGTTGCCGTGTCGTCTACTGATTGTGTGATACCGTGATCCTATCGGCATGTTTGTTTCAGGAACAGATTGATATGGGGATTGGATGGTTGCCGTGACACCCACTGATTGTGTGATACCTCGTTCCTTTCGGCATGTTTGTTGCAGGAACAGATTGATATGGGGATTGGATGGTTGCCGTGTCGTTTACCGATTGTGTGATACCGCGTTCCTGTCGGCATGTTTGTTGCATGAACAGATTGATATGGGAATTGGATGGTTGCAGTGACACCTACTGATTGTGTGATACCGCGTTCCTGTCGGCATGTTTGTTGCATGAACAGATTGATATGGGGATGGGATGGTTGCCGTGTCACCTACTGACTGTGTGATATCGCGTTTCTGCCATCAACCATAGATTTGTGTGGTCCAGGCGTAATTTCAGGCGGTCATATATTACACTGGCATTAAGGAAAACTCATTTACCCGGTACCACACATTATATATCATTACACGCGTGAGGTAAGTCGGGGCATATTAGTGTGTAAATTGCAGTGTTGGTAAATTGAAAATCTCTGTCCAGATCCGGAAACCGGATTCGCAGATAAAGGCAGCATTGTGTATCTCATCTGTTTCGTTTCATAAAAGCATCCTCCGATACCGCTGTACACGTATATTCAGAATAGATTTGTCTCTAACGATCGCCATTAAATCAAGTTCAGGGAACCATTAACTAAACTATTTCGCCTACCTTCATTAAACATTTTGGTCAGTATTTGTCTTTGCATGCGGTCAGTATTAAAATCAGCTATAAATCCGCCTTGAAGATGTTTATGTTAAGTTACCCTGTACATCGTTAGCCATGTAGCGGAAGTCCACTGTGGCTTTATACATCAATATGTCCTGTTAGGTCGTATCACAGCACGCTGAAAAGCTTATCATTAATTCTCATTGAAGGACAGCACACTGTTTTAAGGCATCAAAGGACTGCCGGTCATCAGTCAACATTTATTCGATATAAAAAAGTACAACAGAAATGGATTCATCAATGACAGACAATGGGTCTAATACATCCATCGGCTAAGCACCTCCGGGAACGCTGTCTTGCTGGAATGGAATCTCTGAAGATCAAAACTACAGAATATTGGCACACCAACGAAAGTGAAATTAGATTCTTAATAATTAACTGTGGATACAAAATGATTAACCAAATGCTATATATTAGTAAGCAGTTTTTTCTGGTACCCACATTATTGTGTCATTGTAACACAAATGGCATATATTTATAGACTCCAACAATAACTGTGAAGTCATTACTTTGTGAAAACCTACTGAGTTTTGAATTTATTCAAGATCAGATATACGTAGTCAATATCTTTACCCTTAAAAAAGATTTCAGTATATAAACAATTATGTACATACATACACGGAAGGGCACTACAACGGTTGGCATCTGACGGAATTTGAACTCTTTGGGACCATAATTCAAGATACTGATTTCCTGAAGGCATATCTCAGACCATGAAAATATCAATATTGACAAATAACCACAATAAACAAATTACATCAAGGTTCGTCACTGGGAATGTTTATCCCTTGGGTTATGGTTCACAGCGGAACCCGTACTTGGGACGATGGTGGTCTCCCGCGTCAACTTCTGAAGCAACGCCTTTCTCACCTTCTTACGCATGAAGGCGTAAAGCAGAGGATGGGCGATGGTGGTCGAGTATGCAACCACTTGACAACACAACTGGGCAGTTTCCAAACATAAGTTCCCTTCTAAGACCATCTCAAGCACAGTGACGGCCACGTGAGGACCCCATAAGCACATGAACGTCACGACAACCACCAGTGAAAGGCGTAGTAATTTCCGTTCTTGATCACGCGCCAATTCCCGTCTAGACTGACCCTGGCTTGATAACGATACAACAACAATGGCAGCCTGAATTGCAACGCGTTTCCGAGCGACGCGCAAGATGGCGACGAAAAACATAATCATGCCGATGGTTGTGATGGCAAAAGTTAATACGTAGAACAATTCGTAGAAATAATAGGGCCCTAAGGAGGACATCAGTTGGTTGCAGCTTAAAGACTTATTTGTGCTCAGACTATTAATCGTCGATTGGTCAAAGCCGATAAAGGGCGTACAGAATGCAAACAGCGCCAGACTCCATATGAGGGCAATGACAATGGTGACTTTCGTTGTGAAGACCTGTCGTTTGGTGGGCGTCACGACAGCATAATAGCGGTCTAGACAAATCATCAACAATGTCATGGAGCTTGCCACACACACCAGTGATATTATACCCTCCATGAAGAAACAAAACAAAGCACCCTTGAAGCGGGACGTCAGAACCATTGTCAAAGTCATCGGAACAGCCGTCAGACATATCACCACATCGACGACGTTCAGATTCGATATGAACGTGTTACCGCGTTCGTCAGTATTTTTCAAAGATTTCAGACTGATAACAAGTACGATGATATTAAACGTAAGTCCTAAAACAAATTCTGATATTAATAGTATTGATGCTACGACCACAAAAGCAACATGAAACTCCCCTTCCTCTTCCATGGCCGTTTATCATAAACCTTCACAAAATTGAGTCGTATTTCTTCTTCACATCACGTTGTCCTTTCCGCGCGAATTCTTCTGACTGCAACTCTTAGACTCAAGTTCCTGGTTATCGGTGCACCGGGTCCTCTGAAGTAAAACATGCAATCAGTTTTACGATAATTAATGCTTTCGATGCTATAAATCAATTCGATAAAGCTGGTATTGCAATGCGATAAATATGCAAATGAGGTCACCTGAGAGTAACTATTTTTGATACATCCTTACATCAATAAGATGCCGACGTTCTCAGAAACTAATGTATACCGTCTCCAAACATTTTATGTTATATTATTACGCCATATATACTGGACAAAATAAGTTAGGGATATTGGTATTTTTATGATTGATATTTTATCAGTGTGTCAATGAATAAATAGATCGTTATTCATAAATTCAAAATTTACGCATATCCCTAACTATTTTTGTCCAGTATATATTTGTTCGTTCAGATGCACTGCAGATCAGGGTACCGTTGTCCAAAACGATTTTAGTTCCTGCAACATGCATGTATATATATACACTCAAGGTTAGTCTCCCTTTAAAACAAAACTCGGTTACACTGAATAATCAACTATGATATTTCTTTACAAATAAACGTGCGTAGCTACATATTAATGATACGATAAATACAAACATAAAACAAATAAAAGTTAAAAAAGGAAATAATTCTTCATGTTTGGTTAAAGGGTTATTTCCACCACCCTTTTCGGCATCCTCCAAGTACAACCCTGAATGCACCCCTCTCATACTTCCGCTAACACCACATTCATTTCTCATACTGGGAGTCATTCCCCTTGATGCGACCCGCTTATAACTACGAATTGAAAGGTTGACACTATGATTAATGGTAACAGTTGTATCGTATCCAATCAAGAGTTTTTCTGTGACATCGATTATGTCTTATATTCTACTTTAGGAAATTATTCTTAATACGGCATGAATAATACGGGAATATTGGCTTTTTGTCAAATACACCGCGTGTGAATATCACATACAGAGTACAAACACTGCACAGGTTGAACGAGTTCAATGACGTTTTTTCTCAATCAACATTGAGCTAAGATACGCTTTTTTCTTTTTTTTCTTTTGCTTTTTGTTTTGCCTCTTGAAAGGATTCAACTCACCTAACTCTCATTACATACATGCACATAAATACACAGGGACTAAACTGGCTTCAGACTGGGTTTCATTTCAGTCTAAACGAGTGGCGCCGCTTAACAATGTATGTATTTGGTGTTCGAACAATAGATATGTATTTCGAAACATAAAAAAGGGAGTGAAATAAATTATGCCTCTCAGATGAGTGTATCATGTTTCCTTAACAACTCAAGTTATCTAATTCAGAGATATTAAAAACAATATTTCAATAAGCTTTTGAAGACATATGCCTTGGTTTAATTGTTTTCTTAATTGAAAAAAACAGGTGATTACTTTATTTTGTACTTCGGTAAACAAATGAAGAGTATAGACTCTTAGTCAGCTCTCAAAGAATACTTCTACGTGGTTTTATTTTAAAGAAATAATTTGATTAAAAACATGAAAAAACTGCATAATGAACAACTGGTGATAGGCATATTAGATAGCAAGGTAATGTCTTCCATAATCAGCAGTGTCTACACTGGCTTATCATGTCGTGCACCATTTAAAGGACAGGACATTCGAAGGAATTTAATTTTGTTATTCTAATATGTTTTGTTAGGCGGGTCATCGTACTTAAACAGTTTTTGCAAAACTATCGACGACCAGTGTAAAAGGTTGTGTGGTTTTTTTCACCTTCTTAAAGTTCACGCCTTATGCTGGTTTGTTACATTCCCTGAGTTGAGTGGGTTATTGTTTTACGTTTTCTGCATCCTGATGTTAGAAACTACGAAATAATATGCACGATACATGAGTGTCTTAATTAGGAAATAATATACTCTACAATGGAACTTCTTGACGTCTAGATGCACAACATTCTTGGTCACAAGATCAATTATTCTGGTTTGGGTTTTACTTGTTTTCATCATGATCATCTTATTCAATAAGAGATCTTAGCGCCAAGTCTATGTTAGAGTATGGGAGTTACGACCTTTCTTGCGACATCACTTTGTGAAGGTGGGGCTTGGGTGGCCTTGTACAAAGCCATCTTAGCGCTAACTCCCATACCTTAACATGGACTTAAGATAGTCTTTGTGCTAAGGTTGTTTTGTACAACGGCACCCAGGGCAGGACAGAACTTATGATTTGGAAGCATTACTGGACAGAGTTGAACACTGAGCAAGTTCTATGCTCTGAGGTACTACCGTTTTTGCAACAGAACGTTCTTGCAAGATTCCACAAGGCCTTAATGCACATCATATTAGAGATTATTTCATGCAAGCCATTAAAGTGATCGTGTTGCCTTTGTCAGCACGGTCACCAGACTTATCACCTGTGGAATACTTGTGGACTTTACCCTAATGATAGGAGACATGTGTGATATTGCAGCCCTAGCAAGAAGAATGGTGTGAATCCTTTCTTGTGACAAGACGTATGGCAAGCGTTGATGACCGCATACACGATTGTAGTGACAAGTATAACATTTTCAAGGATTGAATCATGTAGTGTTGTGTTGATTTCACTCTTATAGGTTGCTCAACAACTTATCCAATCCTCCAAATCCTTCATTTGGTTTTTCATTCGAGATCGATGATACTGTTTAGTCATGTCTTACCACAAGATATTGGTCCTGTCAGGTTTCAAGAACAATGTTGGTTGGGAACTTTCTTTTGTTCGTCAGTGTATGAACGCTGAAACCTTCCTAACCTTGTATCCGGGGTTATTTTGCACTTAAATGTGAAAGAAGGAGATTTCCGAGTTTGAGGAAAGGTATATTTTCGCTACAGTGACAGAAATTTCTTATGTTTCTGTGTACTGCACACAAGATATCACTTTGCCGGAACTACTTCATGGCTCAGGTGTGTGAAGCCCATTTCTGGTGTCCCCGCCGTGATGTTGCTGGAATATTGCTAAAAGCGGCGTAAAACCAAACTCAGTCAGTCAGTCAGTCATAGCTCAGGTGTATGGTCCATTATCTTGTCGCATGACAATACATGGCATAGTTAACAAATGCATTGCACTAAATGTATTTCGACAGCGAAGACAACACACACCGATCACCTGATCGTGGAGTCATTCATTGTATTTCAACTGAGACTGTGAGTGACTGTCCCAAGCTGTGTTGTGTCGAGTCCAGGCAGCGTTCAAAACTTACATCTTATGTGCAAGTGACCTTATTCACTCGATTGGCAACGGTATTACCCGTATTTATGCTTATTGACACCGTAAATGTTGGCTTTTGTTTCTCAACCACGCTCTTTTCTTTTTCAAGGTGTGCCTTGTTTGTTTGTGGTTCTTATGTATTCGTGCGCATGGCGGTGGGTTCGCCTAGTGGTTTAAGCGTTCGCTCGTCACGTTCGAGTCCCCAAATTTGAATCCCATTTCTGGTGTCCATTTCTCGATATTGCTGGAATATTGCTCAAAGCGGCGCAAAACTAAACTCACTGTATTCGTGGGCAAAACACCGAGTTTGACGTTTACGCTAAGACCAAAAGGCTTGTGTTATGGATAATATTATAAGTGTTGATTGCCATTCATACAATGCCAATAAAATGCTAGCGAAGTTTATATTATTTTCTTATCTGTGTGCAAACAAACAAGCGAGCAGTCTTTAGTTAACAGTCTGGAGAATTTAGATTTCGTTAATCGAATTTTCACGGATTATGACTGTTTAAATTTAATTAAACACAAATTGGAAGTATATGGTAAATAGAATATCTCAGGTGCCCAGTGAAATAAGATGCATCCGTCGTGGCGCGAAAATATCACGTCTTATACATCACTCAATGACAGATACATCATATTTCACAAGTCACATGAAATATCCTTTATCATTTGCTTAAAGGATCGCTCAACTGCTGTTCTACATTTGCAACACTATACGCCCATCGCGCTGCCGTGCACTACATTTTCTAACCTGCTAACCTTTCTATTTCTGTAGCTGAACGCAACACTCACTGAACTGTATTTCTGCCAATCGATTTATTGGTTATCTGTATTTATATTTAACTCGGTACTCCTACTTTATTGAAAGAATCTCTTTGTTTGCGAAAAACGGCGTTATTTCCCGCTTACGCCTTATTGGTTAGTATTGAATAGACAATTAAAAGGGTGTTTTATAAATCCTGCTAGAGAAAATCTAGGCTTGCAGGTTACATTCAGATATACCATGAAGACTAACAGCTGTACTGTTTTTGCAGTTGACAACACGACGTTATTATGTTTACATGAATGTTTTTTGTTCATACTGAATTCCGCCCTACACATTATGCTTTTGTATATTTCGTTATATAGTATATCCACACCAATAGCATATGTATTGATTACTACTGTGGTCGAATGTTTATTTCACGAAGAAGGGAGGCACGAAATGTGCAGCATCCACGTCATAATGGCAAAGGATGTTGTTGAGCGTATCCGTAGTATTTTATGAGTTTCTCATCTCAAACCAGCGAGCGGGTAAAAAAAATAAAAACATAAATAAATATACATTACTAATTGTGCAACTAATCTTATACATTTTGACAATTAAGACCACTTGGTAACAGTCTATAAATTTATTTATGATGTAGAACGAGTCGCTCTCCTTCGGAAAACGGTTTTTAATAAAGATAAATAAAGATAGACCGAGCTGACCTGTCTTTTATTGTTTGAAAATATTTTATTCAGTGTTGAAATGGATTGGGCACAAGTTATGTAACTTATTACCGCCCGCTCCCATCAGAAACATGAACAATAATGAATGGACATAATAATATTAAGACATGTTAATTGATTAATCGAAGCGCTTACTTCGTACAATGTATTTATGCACATGTCTAAAGATATTTTCATTAATAGTATTTGGCAGAGCAGGGTTGCCGTAAAGAATGGTATCAATGTCTAAGTGAACTTTTGATAGTTCAAAGTCTTTTATGAGTGTGCTGTAATGATATTTTCTATCACATCAGGGAATGGATCTCCATAGCGCTGGTAGAAACTGAAAATGATTATTATTTCACGTGAGAATGATTAAAATCGGTGTGAGATGGGAAAACAGATAAACATACGAACAGCCTTTCAGAGACGCCGGAAGCTTGTTTCAGCGCCACGCACATGTCATTTCCGCAACATAATTAACTTTGTTTCTGTATAAGAATATTGTCTTGATTTAATTATATTCAGTTAGATGTTCACGCTCGAGTGAAATAAGATATATTATGAGATATTCCGACACAACTTCAGTCTCTCCGGCGTTACCTTATAAAGAAAAAACAGTCTGAGGCCATTTGGATTCAAATATCATGTTTTCCCTATTTCGTGAAAGTTATGAAACTTCGACATTTTCAGATCAAGATATGCCTTTGAGAACAATGGCCACATAGCATCTGGGTGTATTATTTTGAGCATATTATGTTCAAGTTGTTTATTTTTATTTATGCCGGGTTGTTCCAAAACCTAAAATGATGACATATTACAGGTTCGGAATGTGATGTTTTGTAGATATATCTATACTAACCCAGACTATTGTTAAGTGTTAATATGCCCCACTCTGTTTACACAGAGCATTGTAACCAACATGGTCCTGCTTTCTCATCACTGATGAGGTACGATGTTATTCTGTGTATTAAGGTGTCAGTCAGCAATATTCCACTCTATGACACAGGCCAGTAAATAATCTAGTCTGGACCAGACAATCAAGTGATCGATGTAGTGCACGTGAACACTACACTTCTCTATCGATGACACGCAATCCATTTAGTCAACCCCCTTGGGTCGCACAAGAGTTCACATGGGATACTGACAAATGAAGGGTCATAATCGGGTCTCGTTACCTCCAACCAGCGGATCCTGGTAGCACTTACGGGGGGCAAGTCAGGCCGGGTTCTGCGGCGCCTGATACAACTCGACCTACTACAGCTGCCCTGGATACTGATAACTGGTAGAAGTCAAGTTTGATTACACACTATATCTATCACCACGGGCGTTTAAAGAGCTTATTTGTTCACCTACATCTCCCATATATCGGCAATAGACCTTTCTTTCATCATAAATCATACCAAATAGTATTAAATTGAATATTAGCTGAGTCTTAAGTTTATTTACTTACCACACAAGCTAGAACCGTCATTATCCGCCCATGGTTGATATTTTTGCATCAATAGATACCGCCCCTCAGAGTGAAGCCTGTCAATAGACCACGTACTAGTGAAACCAAATAACTCCAGTATTGTCAATTACTAGTGAGCAGCCTGTCAGTAAAATCGATCCAGGTAACACACTCAAATAGTCAGATTAATGTACCTATTGCAAATTTGCTTCTAGTTTCAGGGTTGATGTTTCGACAACATATCGTCATCTCCCATAACAATGGGAACGGCGTCAAACACTGGTAAATACAGTTAGCTTATTTAGCGTCGTGTTTATACATCAACTTCAGTGTCCGTGCTAACAGAGTATCGTATCCGATCTGAGAAACATTTTATGTTGATTACTTTCATCGACCCAACTCAATGGACTCGTTAATGATAAAAGCGACAAAACCCTTTCCATAGACAAACAAACAAAATCACTGCTAAACGCAGAGTCTGTTCCTGCTGTACTATACGAATGTGTTTAGGAACCACTATGAAATAGTGATGATGCCAGGTGAGTCCTAACATGCCCCGCCGGTGGCACCCGTTACAAACACATGCAAAGGAAAGTCAAAGGGATATAAAGGACAAATCGAAATTGGGAATTGCATCCAGCACAATTTATACACTCTTCTGTTAATACATCGACAATCAACAGCAAAAGTTCGGCAATTAGCATCACGACATTCATTCTATGCTGTTGCTTTTTTTTTCATGTGAAGCAATTACGGGGAATGCCATGGAATATACTTGTTATACTACAATCCATGTCATAATGTAAGAGCGATCGATAACAGACTCGTCAGCATCCATATAATAACTGCGAAATAGAGACGAGGGCATTTTGCTTCAGTACAAAACGTGATTGTTAATACTAGAGAAGAATTCATAGAGAAGAATCCGATATTTATACAATTTTGATAAACAGGCCATTGTGACGTTTCGTGAACACGTCTATAAAACCACATTCTTTCGGTTACAATTTTTGCACAAATTCGTATTGTGGCTTAAATCAGGTTTGTTTAATTTTGTCAACATATTTCTTTAGAAAGACGGTCTGGCACACCCGTTAACCCATGAAAGTGAAAATAACAACAACTCAATTCAATCAGAAGTAAGTACTTAAGTTCCTGGTCACAAATTGCAGTTATATCACAATTTATTTCAATGAAAACGACAAAAACATTCCCACATCCAGAAATCTCTGGTAAAAGCAGAGTCGATTGTAGGATTCCGGCTATATAAGGAGCGGGTGTTTATGAATCACTTTCAAATAGGTGAAAAGGTGAGCGTATCCTGACCAGATTGTGGCACCCGTCATAATCAGATGCAAAGGTTAGTTAGTTGGTTACCTAAAACCAAACGGGAACGTATGGTACTAGTCACAATAGGGAATTGCATCCGACATTTTAGCCAGGGATGAGTCAAATGTTGTGACCTTGTTCAAATAACTGAACTTGAGTCGTATGACAATCTTTGACATATTAAAATCTTAAAATAAAAAATCTACAATGAAGGTCTAAACATGAATTAAATGTAGAAACAAGTGGCTTTCATTCCTCTGAAAACATAACAATGGCATGAATACCTTCATCGTGAAGTCCGACTTAGAAAATCGCTCGCTGCCTCTGAGAAGAGCCTCCCTCGCTGTTGACTGCAAGCACGACATTGGAAGTTCTCTCTCCCCTGTAAGTTGTCACGAAGCATGTATCATGTATCCTTTTCCACGCCGAGAGAATCGCATACTGTCATTAATCAGAACACGCGCTGTCGTCTGCTGCCTCTCGGCTTGAAGACACGAATATCGATCTGCACACAAACCGAGGACGTCATACGCACCTTATGTGGTTCGTAAACCAACACCGATATTAAAGCGACGTCATGTCACCTGCAAGTTTTTGTTACAAGGGAGATTATGCTGTCCCTGCGTCGAAAAGCTGAAAAGTGTTTATTGTATGTTCGCGTAATGTATCTTTCAGCAATGGTTTGGTGGGCTGTAAAACCCCGTACGCAGAAAACAGCTCTGGCGACATTAATTATCGATAGTGATTTAATTATAAAAAGCTTTTAACACGCATTAGTATACATGTATGTCCGAACTGTTGTTTTGTAACAGAGATACTGATGTTTTCACTTAATTTACTTAGTGAAATGTGTGCTGCAGGTAGAATGTCATTTACTCAATACAATCAAAGTGAAAATCGCTATTTTTGTACTAACGACGGTAATAAAAATCGCCCTTGGGATTTTTATATAATAATTAACACAGAAATGCAGTAAAGCGCATTATGTATTTTCCTTGCCTTTTTAAAAAAAATATTTCTCACGTCTAAAATCCGCAACTTCAGCAAGAAATTCATAACAATAGTGAGTGAGTGAGTTGAGTTTTACGCCGCTTTTAGCACTATTCCAGCAATTTTACAGCGGGTGACACCAGAAATGGGCTTCACACATTGTACCCCATGTGGGGAATCGAAACCGCGTCTTCGGTGTGACGAGCGGACGCTTTAACCACGAGGCTACCCCACCGCCCCTGACTGTGAATTTGTATTGCGCATTTCCATGTTCAGTGTCATTCCCAAAGAGCAGTAAGTATCGTTCGAAGTTTAACTCAGCAAACAGAATCGGTGGGGTTTTTTTCTGCTGCGAATGAAATATTATTATATAATGGAAAGATATGTTTCAAAGTACATGTATGTCAACGATCTGTGACTATGTGTCCCAGTCCACTCAGCTGTGAATGGGTACCTCGTAAGGATGGGAAAGCCGCAATACCTCGGTGCGCCTTGTGGCAGCTAGAGTTGTATGATCCCCAGGGAGCTGAGATGTGCCGTTGAGATTGACATCCAATGATCGAGGGAACAAATACCAGCGCCTTGAGCATGCACTAGTGCGTGGATATGTGCGCTAGATAAAAAATCCAATAATAGATAATAATCAACAGTCAATCGGAACAACACACCTAGCTCGTGTATGCAAATGAGCCACAACACAAGAGAGGTTCACAAGAACGTTTACAGTCAGTAGCAAGTGTGTCCACCTTGTGCATTGATGCATACCTCATTGCAAAGAGTTTTATTTTAAGATTGCAAGATTTCGAAGATTGTCATACCACTCTTGATCCGACGTTTATTGAACAAGGTTGCAACATTTAAGAGCCACTAAACATTGAAGAAAGTCTTGCACTGATGTCGTATACGCATAGTCGTCGTCGAAATGTTCTCACGGGTACATCGCTGTTGCCAGGTATGATACGGGCTGTGAGGCCTGCTTGGTGGAACAGGTGCAGGGTTCGAATCCATCGGTCTTGACGTGGGGTCGTTACTGATGGGCGGACATTACGGCAACGATCTATAACTTCATTGTTTTGCTGAAAGCGTCGCCATAAGTGCCAAATGGTGTTTTAATGGACTAGCAACGTCACGCTGCGATGTACCAAACGGAAGCGTACCTACATCTGTCATTTTTCCGGAGGCGTGGTGCTTCAGCACTTTGTAAGATTAGACTCGTGAAGATCCGGGATAGAATTGATGTAACCCATGCTTGTCGTAAAAGGCAACTCACGGGATCGGGTGGTCAGGCTCGCTGACTTGGCTGACACATGTCATCGGTTCCCAATTGCGCAGATCGATGCGCATGCTGTTGTTGATCACTGGTTTGTCTGGGCCAGACTCGATTATTTACGCCATACAGCTGGAATATTGTTGAGTGCGTCGTAAAAATAAACTCACCCACACCCACTTCGTAAGATTGCAGCAGTGGAGTGATAAGCCTCTGGTTGTTTGGCCTTTTAAAGTTTACATTGATGACCATTATTCTCGAATATGCTATGCTTCTTTCAAACTTCGTGAAATTCGAAACAACTACTTTCCTGCGTATCTTCGACCTTTTTCACACACTCATTCTTTGGTTCAAATCCAAAAATCCATTCACACGATTACCAGTGAAAAATTATTCCATGTCACCATAACTTTTGCCTCAGAGTATAGATCCCGGATATATAGTACGATACAGTCAAACAGTCAAAATACAATTCACAGGAAGTCATGCAAAGACACTCAAGAGCCTCTAGAATTTTGCCAAATTTCTTGAAATCACAGAATAGTTTGTTCATAGCAGGCAGGAACTGGGTTTTTATATATCTACAAAATTTATTCTCCACCCGCCCCCCTCCCCAGAACAAAAGCACACACGCACGCACGCACGCGCGCACACACAAACACACTCCCCTTTAAATCATCATCCACCCCCTAGCCCTCTAAATTATTATCGGTCCCTAAGAAAGTATTCAGGATGAAAAGTTCTTGATTTGAAACCTTGTGGCTCTACATATAGCCTAGGAAATGTGATCTTAGGTGAACTAATGCATTTCGTTCCATGATCCCTCAACTTGACATTTAAATAAAATGTTGGAACAGAAGACGTCAATACCGAGCTACACAACGTCTCTTCGTAAGAACACTCGAACCGGAAGTCGTGTCCATTGGTCAACAAGTGCTAGTCCAAGTCTTTGTAAGGTCTGGGGTTCATTCATCTGATGTCGTTAGAATTGCAGTATTGCAGATATAGCCTGGCATCTGTAATCTTCTTCTTTGTCAGCAATTTTGTGCATGAAATATTGTAAAAAACTATGCTAATAATTATGGGAGGGGGGATTCATTTTGTACGTGACATGCAAGGGGGTCATTTACCTTGTACATAAATTCTAGGGGGTGTCTTTCACATTGTACACGCTTCTCCATAAAAATCATCATCACCACCCCCACCCCACCCCCAGCCATAAATAATGAACGGTCCCTCACAAAAATCAATAGATGATGCTTTAAATAGACTGCAAATTCCGAACACAGACGCAAATAATTATCTTAGTAATGTCGCCGGATGTACTAGGCACATAAACAAACTGTGCATACAAAAATTTAAAATCTAAATTTATCAAACCTGTGTAGACACATAAGGATTTAAACTCAGAGATTAGTGACATGTATCCAACATGCATGCACGTGCCACGTTCCGTCACGTTAGTGGGTTCGTCCTTGAGACGCGCAATACGTTGTTGCACGTGCATTCCGGGAAAGAGAAACAGAATAAATGAATGCCACACAATAGTGTCACTTTGGAAAGCTCAACCCCTGCCCTTGCGATCGTTCAAAAAATTAAACGGCTATTGAAACGCATAGCATGCCAAGGCTCACGTCTGCACAACGTCATGAGGCCATTGGGATGGTCCGTGGGGGAATGTCTCAACGACAAGTGGCTGCACATTTCCACTGCCACCGGAACACCATTTCTGCACTGGTGAGACGCTACCAGAACACAAATGACGTCATCGATCGGCCACGTTCTGGACGTCCACGTGTAACAGCGCCAAGACAGGACAGATGGATAAGGGTGACCCATCTTCGCCACAGGTTTCAGACTGCAGTGATGACTGCCCGAACCATCCCAGGACTTCGCCGTATCCACCCCAACACAGTTCGACAACGTTTACGTCATCACGGGATCAGACCACAACGTCCCGCCATACGGCCTATCCTGACACAACGTCATCGACAAGCTCGCCGAATGTGGTGCCGAAATCATGTCCGCAGACCCTTGTTTTGGTGGAGAAATGTTGTTTTTTACAGATGAGTCCAGGTTTAACATTTCCCATAGTGATGGACGTCAACGTGCCTATAGACGCGTGGGAGAACGTTATGCACAGGCCTGTGTCTTGGAGAGGAATCGCTTTGGTGGTGGTTCCGTGATGATTTGGGGTGGAATAACAGCAGGCCAAACAACTCCTTTGGTGATTGTTCAGGGCAACTTAACTGGTGTGGGCTACAGGGATCAGATTCTTCGACCTGTGGCAATTCCTTTTTCTGCAACGTCATGGCCCTGGGTTTACATTCCAACAGGACAATGCCCGCCCTCATACGGCAAGGGTTGCTGTGGATTTCTTGCAACACCACAACGTTGACTTACTGCCTTGGCCTGCAAATTCACCGGATCTCTCCCCGATAGAGCATGTTTGGGACGAGATGGATCGACGTCTACGCCGTCTTCCTCATCCGCCAGATAACGTCCTTGACCTTGCAACAGAACTTGAGAGAATCTGGCGTGACATCCCACAAGCCTTCCTTGCACGTTTGATAGGCTCTATGCGTCGTCGATGCACTGCTGTTCTCAATGCCGATGGTGGACATAACCGTTATTGAGCTTGTGACATGGTCGTTTGACCCCTGTCCCGCTTGTGGACTCGTGACGTCATTGTGATTGACTTTTCAATTGAAATTCTCCCGACTTGTTATGGTCTCATGATCCCTCCATTAAAGTTTATATGTACCTTTTGACATTGTTATCGTACTTATCAACTGGGATAATATTTTGACAATGCACAGGTTCTTTATGTGGCTAGTATATTTCCCCATACATTGGCGTATCTCTAACTTCATTCCTCGCTGTTCATTTACGAGCGCTTCTTCTCTCACTCTGGTTGTAATACCAGTAGCATCTCGTGCATTCCCTGTTCCTTGACATCGCATGCATTACCTGTTCCGTGTCGTAGGCATCTTCATATTTGCCACTTCATGTCACGCCGCGGCCGAGGTGAGTTGATACACCCCTCGGTCATACATCATCCACTGATCGTACTTATCAACTGGGATAATATTTTGACAATGCACAGTTTCTTTATGTGGCTAGTATATGAATTATATCTCAAAGCTATAGACAGTTTATCTTGGTAAGCTCGCTTCTTATCCCTCGTAACAGAAGAATATGTATTTTTTGCCCTTAAATA